TGATTGATAGGCCAATTCAAGTTGAAGAGACTTCTGGAGGAGTTCTACTCCAAGCTTCTGCTCAATGCAGGGTCAGGTGTGAGGGCACACCAGGTTACACAGGGCATGATTAATACTCTTGAGTCTGTTTTTAAATTGTGTCTTACCTGATACAGGCAATCATCAGTAACACTGTCAATTTTTCTTCACCTAGGACTTAAAGATGGAAGCTACGAGCAGTACAGGTACATTTAAAAAAAAAAGTTTACATTATTATTTCCAAGTACTACCTTCATGGTGAAAGAGCAAGTGTGGGATTGGGAAGCATATGGACAGACATGGCCTGGAAGGGCATTTGAAGTATCTTTCCACCCCAGTCACTTTGAAATACTGGAGCTCTTTGTTTCAATGTTAACAGCATGTTCTAATCTTGGTAGTCAAAATTTAGGCTGAACTCTTGTTCCTCATCTTTCAGACTGTAGTGCTGGTGGCTTTCTTGGTGATGGTTAACTTTTTTCTCCCTTTGCTGCTTGAAAATTAGGCAGTTTCAACGTCGAAAGTGGCCAGATGTGAAGAGACCATCATCTGCCAAGTCACTGTGAGTTGGGAGCAGTTCACCAAAAGCCATTAGCTTTTGACTTCTCTTTTTGCATGCAGCACCTTTTTTATCATCATCATCATCATCATCTATTTTCATAGAATGCTTAGGTCAGAAGTCCTCTAAATTATGCAAGAAATGTGATACTGCCATCTTTACTGACAACTACTGCACAAAACCTCTTGGTACGTGTTTTCTGGGAATCTAGGAGCGCTAAGGTCAGGGCAGTTTCAAAGGTGAAGGTAGATGCTCAGTTGAAGAAACCAGTTATGGTTTACTGCCAGTAAAAGAGAAGAGTATCTTGGTTTTGTCTAAATTTAAACTAGTAGCAGCTACCTCGTGTTTTTTTCACACAATCCAGAAAGAGCAAAATCAATCGTAATTTCTCAGAGCAGAGAGACTGTATAATGTATTTTCTTGCTCTTTATTCAACCATAGCCTTGTGTTGTGAGCAAAAAAAAAAAAAGCAGGTTAAAACAGAAAGTAGACTAGAAGACAGATCTGTATCTAAGACTGCTTTTTCCTTACTGAACTGCCCTTTAAAACTTGGTGATGATATTCAGTTCTCAACCTGCCAGAGCTCAAAGGTGAGGTACAAATTTAAGTACAGTAAAAAGTTACCTTTGGCCATCACTGTCTCTGAATCTCCCCTTCAAAAGAAGGTAGAGAGTTCAGTTCATTAAAAATCATAAAATGTTGTCAAACTATGCAGTAGAAAAAATATGTGCAAGTCCACTCCAAGGCACAATCTGGCCTTCTCAATTGCCCAAGAGTATTTGCTCATGTAGGAGGGTATTTTTATTTCTAGTTGATGAGAAGTCAAAGATTAGCTTCAGAACTAAACTGAAGCTGGAATTAAGCTTTTTACAGGCTGAAGTTTCAAACAGTTCAGTTGCTCCTGCCGTTCACCTGCTGTGCTTTTCTAGGTGGTGCAGAGTGTTTCCATTGGTTTTCTTCCTGCATGGAGCCATTAAAAATATCTTGCTAACTACTCTCCACTAGAATGTTACACACTAAAACTTGTTTGTTTTATTTTAAAGAGGACAACTGTGGGAAGGTTGGGAGGGCTAACCTCCCCCAACTGCTGCACCTCCATGAGGATACAAACTGGCCAGAACTAGAATCCATATACAGACTAAATGAGTTGTAACATTAGCCTGAAGGACTGGATAAACTTTGAGGCTGAAGTAGGTAGAACGTTTGCACTGGTGAGTTAACAGACACGGTGAAGCGATGGGAAACGCTGTCTCTGAAATCCACTACTGCACCTGCTTTTTGCTTTGGATTATACCTCATCTGCTTCACAAGGCATTTTACTGCAAGATGACCCAACTAACCAGGAACCAGGAACTGACAGAAGAGGAAACAGCCACGTCTCAAAGAGGACTCAAAGAGGACAGTGGCAGCATTTACACAGACAGTGGAACGAAATGTTAAACGATTTCCACTCTATTTTCAGTTGTAAGAAAAACTTCAAAGCCATGTATAACTCAAGTGAGATTTAGAAAACATGGATGGTTTTGCTTCTTACTGGGGTAAAGGCAATGGTCGAAGAGAACTCTGAAGATCTGCAGGAGCTGATGCGAGCAGCACCGAGTGTCCTCGGCACCACATTTCTCAACTTTCCTCTGAGGATATGTTTTAGTTCCACGTCTACTTGTCCATCCTACTGCTGCCTCTACGAAGACTAGAGAAAATCTGACTAACAGGACACCAGATGTTGTGGAAGGGTCGTGTAAATATTGATCAATATACTGTTTGAAAATAAATTCCTTCAGGTTGTGAAGAATTTTGTTAATAAAACAAGTGTAATGCCCACCCACCATTTCTCAAAATGTTACTTGCTGTTGCACAGTACATTTCAGAATTTATCCATTTTTAAAAGTACTGAAAAAATTCAGTAAATGTACATCTTAAATTCTAACCAAATCAGATTTGTATGAAGTTTTTTATGTGGCACTATTATATTGTATGTTCAAAACCAAAACGATTTCTTTGAGAAAGCAGTGTTTGCTTAGTAGTATAACTTTTTCATTTATTTTTAAAAGAAGGCAGCTCTGAGAAGTTCAATACTTGTAGTCAATAAAGAATAATCTAGTTATAGTTTAGTCTACAAAAAAGTAGATGTTCTGAATCACAGTTACGGTTTAAAGGCTTTTAAAGGGAAAAAACCCTCATTCTACTAAGGAAGCAGAGTGTACAGAATTATCTGAGTATTTTCATAGGAATATTATTAAATACATCGTAGTACAGGCATTAGGGGTGAGATTTGTATTTATAATTTGTTTCGTGTTACTCTTCTACCTGTTTTAAAGGGCACTCATGGGACAGACTCCACCAACTGTGGCCTTCACTCTTAACAAAGAGGTACCTTTTTCAAAACACAAACTTACCTTGCACTTGTAGAAACGCAGTGTAAAAATACAGCACAGAACTTTTAACTTTTGAAACCCTTCCTGGTTTTGCACATTAGGAAAATTAAGTCGAAATACATCCAGGGATAGAGATCTCTGGTACCACACCCCTATACTAAAAAGAAAACAAATCTAAGAACTGAGGGGGAAAAAAAACCTGCTCAAAAAGCAGAAGTGGGGCCTTTGTATGTGCTATATAGTAAAACTGGACTTGAGTATTTGTAAGTCAAACACACTTACCAAAAGTTTCTTGCAAGCTTTTTTTAAATTGTGGAAGTAATATATGATTGTGTCTGAATCCCGACATCCATTTTCTTCCTAACTTATTACAGATGCTGGATAAATACAAGTAAGTACAAAAATACTGAATTTAAGCTCACCCACAAATAGTGGGTGAACCATAGAACCACAGAATTTTAGGGATTGGACTGGACCCAGTCCCAACCCCCTGCCCTGGGCAGCAGGTTGCTCAAGGCTCCATCCAGCCTGGCTGTGAACACTGCCAGGGTTTTTGCTGCTTTTCAGAGAAAAGCTTTAGCTATCTGCCATCCCCAGGGTGGCTGCAGAAAGAATGATGAGGTTAAATTTTAAAAAATTTAACTCGCACCCTTTTTTGTGTGTTCAGTCTAAAGTCTTTGGCAAGGTGAGGGTGTGATGATTGTCAAAATCCTGTATGGCCAGTGCTGCTGCTTAGTTACATCTCAAGCCAGAAGGCTGAAAAGCTAAATATTGAGCTGTGAGACTTGGATGTGGCACAAGAAGCAGCTGTTTTATCAACGGTACGTTGTTGCCAAGTCTGCAGAAAACTACCACTCCTTTCAGCTCTTCTACAGTCTGCTGATTAAGTTGAAAAAGATACACATTGCAGTCAATGTCAGTTTGACAGGTCTCAGAAGTTAAGGGTCTCACTTGTTACCCCCTCAGCTTTTAAAGCAACTCGGAAAAAAATACATAGAGTTTTTTTCAGTGGTAACCCTGATTTTTATCTGACCTTTCCAGGATACAGTTATCAGCCTTAAGGTATTAGACAGCTAATGCACTGTGCCACCAAGTTCTTATTTTAAATAGAAACCTTTATTTACATTATTATTAACATCCAAACAGGAAAATCAGAAGAGCAGTAATACCTTACAACCAACTCTTTTATAAATCATTCCCTATGATTTTTGTTTTGCAAAATAAAGATACAGATATTTCAAGCAATACTTACAATGTAAACTAAACTTAAATGCAATTCTCAATACTGTATGCCTTCTCCTGAGAAGTTTTTAAAATATTGCTATCAGAATTACATGGTTTCATACTTACTGTATCATTCTGACATCTGGTAGTCTGCACATAAATTCTAAAATAAAAGGTGTGCTAATTGGTGCAACATTCAAATAAGTTTTGCCTTGTGACTGAAACGTGGTCTGGATTTTCTAACTTGAAAAGCAGCGTTTTAGGACAAGAGAGAAAATACATGAGTTTAATGAGTTTAATAAATACATGGTTTCTGTGATCAAAAGAGTAACAGAGACATGTAGCAAAACAACACTCATCTACGCAGCAGTGCTCAGAGATGGCTGTACCAGCTAGTTGATCTCTTACTGTTGAATAATATTACACAGGTTGTTTTGTAAAAACATCCAGAAAAATCTGCTGCTATAGGACCAAAGCAAAATTGACGGAGACAACGGAAAGTCCACAGATTTCAAACTAGATGTGCTGTTTAGGATTAGTGCTGCTAAGAAAGAGGTCACAGATGCATTTTTCAAATGTCCCACCCAGGCCCCTTAATCAAGTTTAAACTAAAAATCTTTGGATTCAGCAAAAATGTAGCTACTGGAAAGCTCCAGCATTCTATACACCGATGAGAAGCTGATGAGTCTTTTTAATGTCAGTCAGGTACCAGTTATACATAGAGGTATAAAGAGAATCACTCATTTAAAAAAGAATAGCAGTATATAGTCTAAGAGCTCATCTAATCAAAGCAATCAGGGTTTGTAGTTGCCATCAGTATCATGAACAACTACAAAACAATGTTCTACTCTGATGTGATATAAAAAGCAAGGGATTGTTGCCTTTCAACTTCAGTAGGCAGCACTTAACGAACAGATATGTTCTAAGGAATTGTAAAAAAAAGTTCCTTAGGCTTTTACATGTTTTGCATTAAAAACACACCTGAATTGGACTGAAGATTTCTCGTCAGTGCTGTCCCCTAACCCCCACGCTCAGCACTCGGGGCAGGGGGTTGCATGAAGTAGAGCGACTCGATCTACGTCCGCGTGGACAATGGCCGGAGGAGTGTTTCGAGAGCAACTCTATTTAATGTTATTTCTGTTAAAACTGAAGATCACTGAATATATCTGAACAATAAAACCACCTCTTGCTAACAGTACCAAGAAGAAGCAGTCAAGAACACAGATCAGGGTTTGGTTTTTTTTTTACTCGCTTGGGAGAAGTCAATTTTCCATGACACAATGAACAACAGAACAGAAGCACCACACATTTTAAACATTTCTGGGCCATCCCTTACCGAAGTTGAGAGGTGTGACTCTCACTGCAAAAATTGCAATTCATTTCAAGGAGCCAAAATGGAGGAGAAAAAAAAAATCAAACCCAAAACCCCTTATCTGCAAATAATATGCAACCAGACTTGGTAAGTGACAGGAGACACACCTACTTAGAAAATACATTCATTACTATCAGCGCAATCCAATGAGGTGCAGACCTTGGTTAAAGTGTGGCTTAATATCATTAAAGATTTCTGGATATCATGTAACAACAAATACTTCGCAACAGACGAACATTTGGCGTTCATTAAAACTGACCCAAAACAGACACAATCCAGACCCATCAACGAAAAGGTGACCTATGACAGAAAGATGACTGTCCTGACAAGTCGTAACATCTCACAATGCAGAGCCTGTGTGTCCAACCGACTCATGGAAAAATAAATGTAACAAAAGTGCTCACAGGTGGAGAAAGCATTTAACAACAGTCTTTCTTTATAAAAAGCTATATGTTAAAGATGTAAAAATAAATGAAGTGTTGAAGACCAAGGAAGAGAGAGAACTATGTGGGCTAAAGTCACCCAGCTTCAAAGTCATTCAATTCAATTTTAAAAAAAAAAATCTATTTGGACTTCAACTACACTGAGTTTACAGAAATCAATTTTGTTAAATATTTAGCTTCACAAACTCTGCAAAAATGAGTTAGTGACCTACAAAAGTCATATATATATAATACATTATCTTAAAGATCATATTTACAGAATTTATTCACAAAAAAGACTGCAACATTCTGATTCTGACTGCAGTGCCTTGCCTTGAGTTTTCTGAAGTTATTTTAAAAAAAAGATGAAAGATTATTGCTCTAATTTCCAGACACAGAAAAACTTAGATTATGCAGTCTTTTCAAATAATTCTTACCAGACTGTGTTTGAGAAGGAACATGAGCACACCCTACCTTCGTATTACGTCCTTATCAAAGATATTGCATTCATCCATTATATAGTCTTCTATAAAGTGCACTCAGCTGCACAGCAATATGTAAATAGTCACAATAATTTAAATTTCTTATCGCCTCTTTTTACCCCTTGGCTTCAATGGACAGGATTTTGGACTAGTCTGTGCCAATTCTTTTTGCACTGCTACTTTGGGGAAATCCCTGACT